ATAGCATGGTTCTTCATAAGGTCATCCGCTCGATGATCTAACATAGCATGTATTCCTTAGAGATAATCACAAAGAGAGACTCTTAAGGCGTCTAGAACTGCTTTAGTCTTCTGTAGCAAACCTACAGAGTCTTCACACGCGTCATTCAGACCCGGGTATCGAAGGACGATCTCACAGGTTGAGAACAAGTCGGTTGTCGTATAAGGTTTACTACAGTTGCAAGCTAGGTAATAAAAAAGTGCAAACGAAACATGGAAAAATTAGTTTGCCATGACTACAAAAATACGTTCGATCATCGAACTGACGTTTGTCTCAAACGCCTTGAATGAACATCTCATAAATTATGTGTAACCAACTAATTGGGAGGGGTACTGGACAGCAATTGCACGGGGGATATCGAACTGCTCAACGAAATATTGCTCATTAGTATTTCGATAAGAGTCCTGCAAGGAAGTGCCGACTCCCTCAAGCTCCTTGCCGTCGAGTCACTCTTTTGGTAGGCAAACTCCTGCAACGATATCAATATCGACGGAAAGCAACTGATGCACTTTCCGTTTACGAATCAGTGAGTCCTTTTGATTGACGTTGCGGAGATGTTCCAACAGAAAGTTCAGAAATTTTACTCATTGATTAGAAATCAAGCTCTCCAAAACGATTAGTGCCTCAGGGATACTGTTTAGTCAAAGGGCAAAGAACTCGACCGAGTCATTAACTAACTATATCCCGGTCTTCAAGTTCATCACACGAACTTGATAGATGGGGAAATCAACGGAAAAGGATGACAGTACTAGTAAGTAGTAGCAGTACTGAAGCATCTTTAGTTGACAGTCAGCTGCCTACGCAGGAAAAGTAGGAACTTGTCGATTTCACAGGTCTGCTTGCCACGTCGCTGAAGGACAAATGCTGCTGTTTCTGTTTCCTTTTGAGATAAATAACTTTCTGAGATCGAACTCAGTTTTGTTCCTTGTATTTGCTGTCGCAGATGGCTAGGTTGATTTCCTACCGCACACGGTGTTTCGTAAACGATTGTGACCCAACAGACGAAATTAATTTAATAAATTAATTTAGTCGTATATGCTAGGTTTGACGTTTTTCAGGCTATCAGCAAAACATAATTTTAGCTGCTGCTGTAGGAACGATGCACTGTTGCAATATTCTGCCTCAGAACACTGGCGCAAAATGTTACTGATCTCTGTAAGCATATTTTCTCGCACAAAGCAATTGTCAAGGCGATCACTGAAGGTGACTTTTGTAGGCAGTATCTATCTTTCTCCTTATACCAATCATAGGGAATTGCCGTTAGCGTCAGAAGTGTACATCGAACATAGATGCATATTTATATTTCCATAGGCTGCCATAAAGTTGTGGAATAGGTTTTAAGTAAATTTTGCTGGAAATTATGGCTGTTCCGCAGTCATGATTTAAACTCGTACTATTCAACCTATTACCAATTTCATCAGAGATACTCTGTCCTGTGCATTGATGGCGAGCTGTCGATTTCGCTGTGCAAACCCTACGGTATATTGGTTTAAAATATAATTTGTTCATTTCATTTTTTAACTCACGTTGCAAATTTCAATGACGAAGTAATCAGATTCATTTTGACCTTCCAATTTTACCAAAGAGATTGGTGCCAATGAGATGACTCGAACTGTGAAACCATTTCAAGCGGATGATTAAAGCAATAAAATATTACGCACTGGGTCTTCAAAAACGTAACACATGAATAAAAAGATTCTGTTGAGCCAGGGGAAAAATTGTCTGATTGTCTCAGACGTAGAATGCACCTCATGACTCTTACTTGTGAGGCTGCTTTTGTACAGTTATTACCACGAAATGAACTGGTTGGACTAGAACATAGGCTTTGACATAGTGGGTCCGTGAAAATTCTTTGCATCTCAAAACTGATCAAGAAAGGCAAGTCAGACATTGCACTGACAATATGTTCTATTCAACCGATTGATAAATGTCCACTTCACCGTTATTACTGCGTCTACAATATTTTGCTAAATTGTCGATCGTAACATATTATACAATAATAAAAATAAAACAATTTTCGATTTATTCTCGATTTTTAATAATATAATTTTCCCTTCATAAAATGATGCTGTAGTTGTGAATTAGCTAAGGGGTAGCAATTCCATAAAACGTAAACAAGCTGTTTAGGCAGTAGTAATTAGTTCATATGCATATTTAAGGTATGACCTTCGTATAATCACAGTGTCATCTTGAAAATTTCCACTTATTCTTTA